GTTTAGGGTTTAGGGTTAGGGTATAAGGATGTACAAGGCATATGTCGCATAAGGCTTGGAGGATAGGCTTTTTCAGGCTCAGGGCCTAATAAGGGGTCTACAGTAGGGCTTGGTGACGCTATGTATGTAACCCTTTGGGCACATGAGAGGTGAAGACATGAGCTTGGAAATACGCCCGTTTTCGAGGAAAGCATACCGCAGAAACAGCATACTAGTCCGCTCATCTAGCCGGGCTTCCCATTGTAACCTTTTCGTGAATGTGCCGACGCTCCTCCAGGATTCTGACATAGTCATTATGGCATACTTCGGCAACAGTTGAATAATTTTAAATGTACTGTACACTACTACATATTGATCTTTAGGATACAGTCGATATTGCTACTCGGGCGCACCCCAAAAAGACACAGATCCTTAATCAGGGCCCAAATACACGTCATGAAATGATCCCTACATGGAATTCCATGCCCTCCTTGACTAACAAGGTCCTAGTATCCCTAATGTTGCAGGTAGCTCGTTTTTACTATATACCGTCAAAAAAGGAACAGCCCAAAGTATGGGGTCGTTGATTGCCGTAGTCATGTGAACGAGAGGCGAATACCAACTCCGAGATCGTGAGTCTGTAGTGTAACACTTTCTGCAGAAATACCACCACGAAGTGTCCCCTATTATTGGAAACATTTTGAAACTCCAATTATCGAAAGAAAGCATTCTGAAACTCTAAAAAGCATTCTGAAACTCTATTTTCTAAAATATTCTGAAACTCTAATTTTCTAAAACATTCTGAAAACTGTTCCATGAAGGCGCTTGTACCAGCTGAGCCCGGGTTCCTCCGTAGCATCATCCACCTCGAGCCTGCAGGGAGGCCCACCGGGCATCACAGAGTGATGTAGGGGCCTTAATAATTAGACTAGGGTTCCTTTAAAGGGATCCTTAAAGGGTTCTATAAGGGATCTATGATAGGGTTCTATAGTAGGGGCCGTAATAATTAGAATAGGGTTTTGGGGCCCGTTGTACTATAATTATGATAAGGAACCCCCCCAAAATAGTACTGCAGAATATTGAGGCCGTTACATTAGGGTAAGTTGCGGGGCTTCAAGGTTCAGGGTGTCTTGATTGGATTTAGGGTTTTGGGTTTGGGGTTTGTAGGGTTTCGGGTTCAGGGTTTAGTTTAGGGGGCCACTCCGGCCGTCCGAAGCTACGGTCCTCTAGGCTCCTTTCTCTAGGATTGAGGGAGCTTGCTCGATGCCTTCGGCTCCAAAATCCCGAACCCCTGGCTTCCCCCATGCAAGAAATCGCCAGTTTTGAGGAATCGTGGCAATCTGCCGAAAAGTAGCGGGGCCTACAACCCCGAGGCTCCAAATCCGCGGTCCAAAGCAGATGTTTCGTTTCTAGTCGACTTTAGGCTTTTTTTGGTAGCTATTAAGTAGTGTTTTGTTTATGGTAGACTTTAGACTTTTGGTAGCTACTAGTTAGTGGATACTTGGAGCAGTATGGTAATGGTGCTTCGGTTGACCTGGGCCTTTGATGATCGGGGCTACTGCAAAGGTAGTCCGCAGAATCGGAAAGCTCGTTCTGGATCTAGCTGCACCTGTAGACTGGCTGGTGCAACTCGTTGGGCTGGGGTTTGGTGAGTCTGGTGCTCTGGACACTTCTTCCAGGATTGCAAAAAAGCTGCCGCTGTGTGCTGAGGCTCTTCGGTTTCGTTGTCTCCTCCGTCAAGCATGTAGCATGCAGACGAGCAGGCGAAGATACAGCTTAACTGAGGCCTGGAATTCGAGACGCTTCTCGCGCGTCGGACCGTCGATGGAACGGCCAGGCTCGTCTGAGGCTTCTCCTGCAGCCGCAGTCGTGGGCCCCCATCACACTGAACCCAATAGCCACAATAGCCACAAGTGATGGGAGACTGCCGGATGAGACCTGAAACCTTGAATTCTTCGAAGCTTCCAAATTCCACACTGGCTCCTTGTAAGCTGTGCTTTTTGTTCTGCTTGAACCGCGCAACCCTTCGGCAGCCTTCCATGAGCCTCACTCACTCATCGTAAATCTTCATGCCAAGCCGGAACGAAGAAGAAGGCCGAGACGGAACAGCGAAACCTATGGAAACCTTATAGCAACCCTTACAATAATCCTGAAAGCAACCTTGTAATAACCCTTACAGTAACCTTTCTAGTAACCTTGATAACTCTAAAAGTGAACCCTAACAGGAACATGAGCCTATAGAATCCCTCCAATGTAACTCATGTGGCAACTAACGCCTAAACGTAACAGGAGCCCGTAGGGTGACTGCCGGACCCAAAATCTGTGGCCCAAGTCCTTCGGCGCTCTGTCATCGCTCTTGCACCTCTCGTAGCTTGCCAGAGAGGAGAAAGGTTTGGGGTTTCCGGTTTGGGGTTCGGGTTCAGGGTTCAGGGTTCAGGGTTTTGGGGTTTTAGGGTTCAGGGCTTTAGGGGTTTAGGGTTTAGGGTTTAGGGGGGTTCAGGGTTCAGGGTTCGCTATCACCCCAGCAAGATCCCTCCGGATCTTGGAGGAGGGCCGCATTAAATATTTTGGGTTTTCAGGGCTCAGGGTCTGGACAAGAAGCTACGACTAATGTAGGGGCCTCAATGCTTGGAATTGGGGTATTGGGGCCCCTTATACTATAATTACAAGAAGGAACCGCCAAAATAATATAGGTAAGTATCAAGGCCCCTATATTATGGTCTCTGTGCATAAAGTCTTGGTTGGGTTGTACTGGGATAGATTGGGGCCGGACAGAGATCCTCGAGCAAGAGGCCACGACAAGACAGCTGTGCCGAGACGGCTTAGGGTTTAGGGTTTGGGGGTTTAAGGTTCAGGGTTTAGGGTTTTAGGGTTTAGGGTTTAAGGTTTTTGGGTTCAGGGTTTAGGGTTTAGGGATGATACATGAGTGTGTTTGCACAGGTCTAGTTTTGGAGCTAGACATAGTGTGTGTTCAGAAAGACACACATACATGTAGGAAACAGGTTTAGTCCTGCTTTTCGTGCGCACCCTCGGCAAGCAAGCAGTGTTCTGCACAACCGCTGTACACACGCAAGCAGGCTAGGATGTGCACAACCCCAGACTCAGCCAGTCGGAACCAGAATCTACACCCTACGCCCTACAATCGAAATCCTGTACAACCCTAAAGCCGTGTTACAGGGCTTCAGGTTTTGTGGTTTAGTGCTGTGGGGCTTTGGGCTTAGGGGCAGTTCACTGTCACTGCATCTGCTGCCAATCATGCTGGGTTTGAATTACGAGGGGTGCTGCCTTGGCAAGCCTGAAAGAACACCCAAATTGAACAAGAAAATAAGTTCCTTTGAACCCGATGCAAACCCGTACGGAAACTCACACGGGTACCCGTCAACCCGAGTCAACCTCGCCTCTGTACAGCTTCGCCGGTTCTCAGCCGGCGGGTCTTGCGAACGAACGGCACTGCGTCTTCTCTTGGCGGGTCCTGCCAGTTGTGGCAGAAAGGCCTGTGCTCCCCCTCTTTCCTACCCCGAGGGTATGCCCGTTTTTGGCAAAGCCATGTGGAGTGTCTTCGTGCTCTCCCTCGTGTGGTGGGCCTGAGGCTCTTGATACCGGGGGCATAGACCTAAGGTTTTTGTACCGGCCTCGCGGGCATGGGCCGTGCCCTTGCGTTGGGTCAGGTTCCGTGCTCTTCAGGTTGAACGTTTATGGTGCACTGGCGCATGGTAAACCCTAAACCCTAAACCCTAAACCCTAAACCCTAAACCCTAAACCCTAAACCCATCACCCATCAGAGGTGCTGGCCAGAAGAAAGGACTCTCGGACTGCTTCGGCTCATGTGCGCAAAAGCCAAGCCGAAATCAAGCCTGCTTGTCCACATCATCCTTGCCAGGAGCAGTCCTGCCAAGCAGAAGATTTCCGTGTCGGTCCGAAGATCTCAAGATTCCCTAAACCTAAACCCACAACCTTAAACCCTAAACCCTACTCCCTAAAGCCATGTCACACTGTGCGAGGCAACTTAATGGGCAGGCTTGCTGCTGCCTCTCAAACACAGACGTCTGAAGCTGCTTATGCTTAGCACCCTGGCAAGATCTGTAAACCGTCAGCATGAAATTAAATGCTGGTGGCGCTGAAGTGCATTGCACTGACAAAAGTTATAACAGTCATAGACCATGGTCACAATAAACAGCCATGTTCTCTGGAAGAAGGAGCAACAGCAAGAGCAATTGAAAACAGAACTATGACGAGAGTAATGACAGCAGTAGCACCAGCAATGCAAACCAGGGATAGTAATCATAGCTGTAATGCAAATGCCGACGAAGGAGACGATGATGACGGCTTTGACGACGGTGACGACGAGCATCAATATGATTCTGAAAAACAATGTATGTGTTTTATCCAGGTTGATACTCACTTCTCACCGTATGTATGCTCGTCTGGATCTACGTACATACCTGTGTGTGTGTGTGTATGTATGCATGCATGCATCTATGTATGTATGCATGTATGTACGCATGTAATTATGTTATGTGCGTGTGTGTGTGTGTGTCTCTATGTATGTCTGCTGTATACATGAATGTATGTATGTATGTATGTATGTATGTATGTATGTATGTACGTATGTATGTATAATTGTATGTATGTGTGCCTATAGTTCCTTGCTTGGATGCATGTATGGATAGATGGATGGATGGATGGATGGATGGATGGATGGATGGATGGATGGATGGATGGATGGATGGGTGGATGGGTGGATGGGTGGATTGATAGATGGAAGGATGGAGCGTGGACGCATGGATGTATGTACGTATGAACCATACCCATTTATGTCAGTGCCGGGGCATCATGCAAATATGTATTCGTCACATCTTCTTCACTTTATACACGAAGAGAATGCCAAGCAATGATTTGTCCAAGTACTTCATACGAGGGACGGATGAGTTGTGGTAGATTAGAAAGGCGCTTACGAGACAGGATTGAGATTAAAGACCGAAGAATCTCAATATCTCCAATTGTATTACAGTATTATATACTATCATACCAACAAATAATAAATCATCTAAAATTAGGGTATCTGTCTCAGCTCCTCTCGCTCCCTTCCAGGTCAGCCGCCGACTTCGCCCGGCTGGGCCGGCGGAGGGAAATTCTGGGCACCTGGAAGGTCGGGGGACATCTGAGGAGGCTCAGGGTGAGGAAGTGGATCATGTTGTGCGGCCTCGTCCCGCAGGTCCACGCACAGTTTCTGTCTATTCGGCTTTGGAGCTTCCGGGGTCCGTGTTCATCCGGCTTTAAACGGTCCACACCAAGGACCCTGACTACAGGAAGTAACTATGTCATGATCAGACACATCCTTCCGCGGAGCAAGCTGGATCTCCAGCTGTTGAAGGAGTTTGTGGGGGGGGGTCTCGTGGCGAACCTGGGATTTGGGGGGCCCTTTGAGTGTTCTGGGGGTTTAGGGTTTAGGGTTTAGGGACGAGAATTGTGGCCTTAGAGAAATTGAGCTGGAGGCGGGGGGGGGACCTCAAACCCTGTGCCTTGCAACTTGAATCACAGAGCCAAGGGAAGCAGAATAGGAGTTGTAGGGAGCTCTTGAACCCGCAACCCTACGCCGACCGTGATTGATAACATATTGAGGACCAGATGCCCAAAGGAAGCTGAGCACACTTACTCCCTAAGCCTTAGTCTCAACCAGGCGCTACCGACTATAAAGGGTCTATAGGTTACGGCCTGTGATTTCTGAAACTCCCAAGTCAACAAATACACTGAGCCCGATGCCTCATGCGAAGCCGACCTCCCGAAACAGGCTGGATTTCAAGGCCATTAGTTGATTACTGGTGCGAGAAATGAAGCGAATAACAAGCGTCAGTGGGTAAATTACATGACATGATGTCTCTGACATAAAAGATCATAGCCGACATGTGACACCGCATGTTACTCATCAGATACTGACTGTGTACCTTCAACAAGTAGGTGCGTAAGCATGTGTATCATTGTACCGGATGATACCCGTCCATCTATCCACCCGTCCATCCATACATCTCTCCATCTATCTATCTATCTATCTATCTATCTATCTAATTATAAATCTACCTATATCTGTATATATATATATATATGCATACACATGAAAGCTAACACAATGTGTGTGTGTGTATTTTGTGTGTGTGTGTGT